GTGTGTGTGTGTGTGTGTGTGTGTGTGTGTGTGTGTGTGTGTGTGAGGCCTGTTAGGATGTGGCGTCGGCGGCGCGCGGCAGCACAGCTCGACAGCCTGTCGTCAACGGAGACCGGCGTGACACTGTGACCGTGGAAACAGGATGTACAGAGATGTCTGAGTATAAAAGGCAAGACGGAGAGAGAGTGTTTTTTTATTTTAGTATTTTACCTCGACGCGCTTCAGTCGGAGTCTCCATTTTAATGTTTTCTTCCGAGTTTGAAGATTCAGTTTCTGCTGGCAGCTCAGACGAGGGTTTGTTGGTTTTGTGTGTGTGTGTGTGTGTGTGTGAGCACAGGTGAATGTTCAGTGAAGAACATAAAGGAAGGTGTGTCGTTCTCAGTGCTGCGTGTTCCGATTGGACAACACTACTGGCATGAACTCGCTCACCATTGGTCGGTCTGATCCAGGGTTTCTCCCAGGCAGCAACCTCCAAGTGAAGCCGATGCAGAAGTGTCTTTAAACTCACAATCTCTCTACTGACCAGCAGGGGGCGACTCCTCTGGTTGTATAGAAGTCTATGAGAAAATGACCCTACTTCTCACTTGATTTATTCCCTCAATAAACATTGTAAACATGAGTTTATGGTCTCAATCTCTAGTTTCAAGTCTTCTTCAACATATGAAGAACTAACGTTACGTTACTGAGCGCCAGTTGGAAAAAACTATACCAAAGATAAATTTGTGGTCAACAAAAAACAAATCGTAGCATGCTAAACATGGCATTACATTTGGTCAAGAGCGCATTATCACCTGTGAAGGACTCAAAGTTTAGGAATTGGGACTTGACTGCAAAGACTTACGACTTACTTGTGACTTGCTCCCACCTGTTTGTAAGGTAGCTGCAATGTAAAAAGTGTTTTTGGTGCCATCCTTCCGCTTCCCGTCACCATGTTACTGTGTAACTGGTGTCTCTCCGCTCTGTTGCAGTGACAGCTACATTGTGCGCGTCAAAGCGGTGGTGATGACCAGAGACGATTCGAGTGGCGGCTGGTTGGCGCAGGACGGCTGCCTGAGCAGAGTGGGCGTGTGCAGGCTGCTGGCGAGCGAACTGCTGGGACGCAACACCTTCCTCATCCACGGAGAACGGCTCAAAGACAAGCAGGTCGGTGCAGCGGCATTTTAATGACGATAAAAGAGCTTGTTTTTTTATTTAGTCACATCTTTTGCATTCCAATGTTTCTGCAGAAATTACACGTCAAATAGTTTTGATTTCCTGTTTCTGTAGATGGCTCATTTCTTTGCTGCTCAGGACTTCTTCTGTCTATTTCATCCCAAAAATGTATACATATAAAGCAATCCTTTGTCCTGTTAATGTGTTGTTTATATGACAGGATGAAGGAAAACTTTCACAAAGGCTAACATTATGTTACTCAGTTTAATAAATACAGCACATGATTTTAAAATGTTCCTGACACCAGTTGTAGTATTTTGTATGACAATTAAATACCTTGCAGTTAATTATCACTGTCACTTTTTGGCTTTAAACCACAGCTTGTAAGATAAGAAGACATGCTGTCAACAGCTGTCAACATCAGGTCTTAGCATCTATATATTCGACATACAATTTGTGGATTCACACTTTTCTTGATGCAGCACAAAACTCCTAAATGGTGTCACTTTCTACTGTATTGAATAAGTTCATTATTCAGGTCGTCTCATCGTGTTTGCCCAATGTGATTTTGTTTCCAGGTGATCCTGGAGTGTTTCTTGAAGAAGGATCTGGTCTACACGAAGGCCACGCCGACATTCCACCACTGGAAAGTGGACAACAGGAAGTGTGGTCTGACCTTCCAGAGCCCGGCCGACGCCAGAGCCTTCGACCGTGGGGTGAGGAAGGCCTTGGAGGACCTGACCGAAGGTACGCACCGGTCGCACACTTCAAACAATTCAGGTTTAAAGTTTAAAGTACGGCAAAGTATTGGGATACCTTTTAAGAGCAACTATGTTGTGTTTGTGTAAAACACTACTGAAAACTACTTTAGAGTTCTCCTTTAAACAGACCGCCTCATTGCAAAGTGTGCGTCGGATATGTGTCGTAAAGAGTGGAGTAGCAATAGTGTCAACGTGATCTCAAAGATGTATATGTGAAATGACAATGACACCGCATTACAGGGTGGTGGCACATAAAGTGTTAAATAAATGTATAATTTAACACGTAATGTGTTAAAATACGTGTCGGCACCAAAGAAACAATTTAACGTTAAGTTTAAGCAACAAAACTACCTTGTTAAGTTGAGGCAACAAAACTACTTTGTTAAGTTGAGGCAACAA